AGGTCATGTGATCACCTTTTACAATCTTCTGACAAGCCAAATCAGCGGGCAGCTAGATTCACTTAACAACTGTGTTACTAACTTAATAACTGTAGTGATTCACTTAACAATTGTGGCAAGAAAAGTCATAAAATGGGACAAAACTCACTTAACAATTGCCTCCCTTAGCAACATAAATTTTGGGTTCAATAATGGTTGTAAATTGAGGACCACCTGCATTGGTTTTTCACTTTAGATGCACTAATACATAGAATTGTCCTAGTTCTGAATATCTTTCAATTTACACAGATCTCTTGTAGAAGACAAACTGCACATTCTCTGCTGTAATGCACTCATTTAGAATTAGAGGAATGGAAGGAAATAGTTGTTTCTCTGTGTTGCGATAAAATCCTAAAGTACAATTATGTTGACAGGGTGGAGGCCAAGGAAGGGATGCGTGTTAGGGTTATCTTGCCATGTGACATGGCACAAGATGGCTCCTGCTTGGTTTTCAACAGGAATTAGTGATTCAGACAAGTTCAAGAGGGAGGGATTAGAAGACAGTGGGGCCAAGCACTTTTTTTAATCCTGTTATTGGATCTATAACTATCTATGTTACCTAATAGTGAAATTAAAATGAAATGGCAGAGGCATAAAAATTGTATGCTGACATTTCAGTTCATCACTGAGCTCTCAGTTCTGGAAATCTCCCAAGACAGAGTAAATCTTAGGATTTGTTTGCTATGACACATTGCAATTCATACATTGACAAAAGAGCTGCTCTGAAAAGGAATTGCACATTTCACAACTCTTCTGCCCTTAAGTAATCAGAAATGAGACTGCATCTTGTAAATATAGATCTGCATTACAGATGGTGTTGGATTTAAAACTTATTTAGTTTGGAAAATAATCCTACAAATCTTGATTTACTTTGACTGATAAAGCAAAAAAAACAACAACAACCCTCATGCAAAAAAGGGGGGGGGGAAATCTGAACTTATAAGGTCTGAGCTGAATGAGATTTCTAGTTTGTCCAAATTTTCCACATATAATTTTTCATCTAGTTCTCCAAGCCAACTTTATTTCAAAAGTATAATGTAGGACGGGAGAAAAGCATTATGAGTCCAGAATCATTAATTATATTACAAAACACTCTGAGTGTGGTAATACCCCAATAATTCTCATAATTTCATAATTTAAGTCCTACCAATGACTCTGTCAAAGGACTTGTGTACTGCCACTATCAAAACAGGTGTGTTTTTTTTTTCTGTGAAGGGTATTTATATTTTACAGGCTGCTTGTTCTCCCACATTTGTCCTACATTTAAATATACAATGAAATTTTAATGACCTGCTCTGTGTCCACTTCTGTGTGCCACTACCTGAGCCTGACATTGGCAGTTCAGACAGGGGTGCTGCTCACGAAAGTTTGTATCTCAATTGGCTGGATAAGTGTTGCCTGTGCTACCACATTCTTGTGTCTATTTTGTTTCAGAGGAAAATCTTTTCCAATCCTCCCTGAAGAAGCTAGGAAGTGAATCTAAGAGTAAATGTAAATCATAACTGCAGCACCACCCTTTTTTTATACTTAGCAGTTATTGATCCCAGTTATGCAGATAACTGTTCACTCTTATGCAAGAAAGAATCGCTGTATATCTGTCATACAAAAACATCAGATCGCTCACTATTAGTGGATTAAATTGTGTTTTCAAATGTTCCTCCAGCTAGCTTCAGTACAGAACGCCATACATATGTGAATACGCATCGCTTATCTTCATGCGCGTTGCACAGCAGCCTCTACCCATACAGTGGCACGCCATTGGCCAAAATATGGGAGATATGGGAAAAAGACTGGAAATAAATTATTTGCATCGATATGTCCTGACGACAATTTTAAAGAAAACAGAAAAAGTGTTTGCATAAATTGAATAATTATTTCCTATGTTGTGATTGAGAGGTTATGTTGGGGGAGGGGGGCGATGACAACTTCCTCATTGGCTCAAGGGGGCGATTCGTTCAAAAAGGTTAAGAACCACTGTTCTAGACTAGGGGTCCCAACCCCCAGTCTGTGGACCAGTACCAGGCCGCAGCATGCCAGCAACCGGTCTCCATAGACAACAAAGCCCCATCTGGGGGATGCAGGCAGCATACAAAACCACGCACCCTCCGGTCTGCGGAAAAACTTCTCTCCATGGAACCGGTCCCCTGTGCCCAAAAGGTTGGCTACCTCTGTTCTAGTCCAACCCCCTGCTCAAGGAGGAGACCCTATACCATTCCAGAGAAGTGTATATGTAATTATGTAAGTGTATATGTAATTATATATATCCATATAAGTGTATACATAAATATGCAATTACACTCTCTCTCGGCCCAATTCATCTCAAAGGGTTATTGCTGAGAAAATAGGAGGATGAAGGAGTATTACATAAGTTTGTTGCCTTGAGTTTTTTTATAAAAATAATAACATCAGAATAAAAATACATAAATAAATATTGAAGTTAGTTACCGTATTTTCCGGTGTATTAGACGACTTGGCGTATAAGACAACTTCGGAGCCGATTTGCATGCTTTAGAAAGTCGTCTTATACGTCGGAAAATACGGTACATATATTTTGCACCCTCAGGCATGCTGTTTCATTAAAAATACCATCTGTAATTATGCACTTGGACAGAAATCATGATAAAATATGCACATTATAGGATTTATACGGTATTAGCAGATGTGTAATTTCACACATTTTTTTCCCCAGAAAACCTTCCAGTTGAGAATATTGGGACCAAAATGTTCCTTGCTCTAAGATAAATAATATCTACCTTAGGCTGAATTTGATTCCTGAGAACCTCCTTCACATTTCTGTGCAGTCTCCTGGTAAAAATATGGAAATAATTTACCATTGGCTTTCTGGAGATTTGCTATTGCTTAGTTACTTTCCAGTTTAATTTACAGTCCTGGGGCTGGTTTCCCTTGTTATTTCACCTTTCATACAAGCAGGTGACAATATCTCAGATTAGGAATGTCTACAGGGGTGGTCAAAAATGTCAAGAGACAGTTGCAATGCTGTTACTTGTATGCGTTGCACCTTTATACCCAGCATCTTGGCATTTTTGACTGCACCCTAAAGAATTTATGGCTCAGATTGCACAAACCATGATGCTAGTAATTAATTATTGGGTTAAACTCATGTATCATCCAACCTGGCCACTCTATTCTGTTTTAAGGGATAGTTTCTAACCCCCTTGGCAGAAGTTCCTTAAGCAGCAGCTCCATTCATATGGCCTTTCTCAGATCATTTTCTGTAAACCTGGGTGGTCTCAGGCTAGAAACTTGATCTGCCCAAGCATTTCATAGAATTGAGCTGCAGTATAATTTGAACTGACTGCCCAGCTTTTCTGTTACCAAAGTCAAGAGGCTTCAACCTCCAAGAGGCATTTACTCCCCAACTACTCAAGACTACTGCTAGGCTTTTGTAACAACCTTGTTTCTGCACAATGACAGGGAAGGTCTCCCAAAAACTATAAAAGGGAGAGTTACCAAAACACATTCTTTCATAGTACAGGGTGTTTTTATTTTTAAAATCCCCTTTTAGCAGCAATCTCTGCACAATCAGACATGTTCCATATTGATTTTCTGCTTGCTGATCAGGTCTTTCATACAACATGCAATGCTACAAAGAGTTGTTATTTAGCAGCAAGGCTTTGGCAGGGAATCTGTAGTAGGATTGAAGATGGATTGTTATTTATGCTTATTTATGTTCATTTTGATTCTCTTTTTGATCCCTCTTGTATGTGTGTGTGCTGTCACCTGTCTATAGGAGCAGAGCAGGACTCCCACTCTTAACTTTATCTTAGTACAGTACAAATCAAATAACCCAGATCGGAAGCTGGAAAACATCTTTGTTTTGGAGTTTTTTCAGAATGCATATCAAGAAAAGATAAGCAGAGGCTTCCTTAGCAATGTGCTGGGGTGGGGATGATATTGTGCATGAGCTCTTGGGCATGGCAGATTAGCTAAAACACACAGCTCTGTGGTCCAGTAGAGTGCAATGTCTGGGAGATGGCTGTTGCTATTCAAACCGATATAATAACTGATAGGACAGATATTAAAAATCACTTCTGATAGGGCCTGTTCTAGGCTCACTTTTTGACAGTTGTACAACCCTGACTTATGTACCAATGAAGAATAACAAAATATAATTTGGCAGCTTATGACCAAACTGAAACTGACTTTCAGTGTTGGTTCTCAAGTGATGAATTCTCAGTGCTAAGACAACTGTAATGTTGTCTCACTGATTTTGCACAAAACAAATTGCTCCGTTTGGTTAAGGACTGTATTCATGCATTTAGTAAAACCTACCTCAAATTGTGCCTGAGGCTCAATTATTAGGACATGTTTATCCTTAAAAAACAAACAGCAACATACAAATTAGCTTATGGATGTAATGGAAATAATGCTTTAAGAATTGAAAGGGATGTAGTGGTAAATTGACTTGATTCAAGGTTAGTTTAGTTTAGCTGTATTTTGTTCCTCTTATATCTTTCATTTCCTTTCCACTGTATGCAAATGTGGCTTAGCCTGGGAGGAAAGGGCATACATGTATATATATTAAGTTAATAATAGTTCAGAAATGGTTTGCCATTATCTTTTCCCATTTTTTCCCCTCACTTCCCAATCTCATCAACAGCTCTGAGACGGTCTTCCATCCAAACACTAACTATACCCAAGCTTTTGGCGATAAAGGTGACTTAAAAAGCCAACACTCATAAACGGCCAACACAATTTGCAGACTGCCGTACGCAAAGGAAGAGAAGCTAGAATTCCCAGTTCACCCGGGCGTAATCTTAGAACCACATCTCCCACAAAGCCTCACGCTCGTTTCCTCTTCAGCCCTTTCTCCCGTGCTGTGACATATACAGGGCGACGCAAGGACATTGTGACGCCATCGGGGTGAAAGTTCACGCCGGCGTCTGTCTATTCGCTGGCGGAATTGATACGGTCGAGAGAGGGGTATTTCCACCTGGTCTCCCTCCCGCCCCCCCATGGCGACTCGCTGGCTCCGGGAAATTTGGCAACTGGGAGTGCGGGGAGGGCTGAGACCAAGGGCGGCCGCGGCTGGCTGGTGAGCGGAGCGAGAGAAGAAGACGGGTGGGGAGGAGGGCACGGGAGGAGCGGGACGAACAGGACAGAGGGCTTAGGAGCTGGGGTAAAGGACCCTGGAAAGAAAGCAAGGCGTTGGGATGGTCAGCTTAGCCTACCCCATTCAAAAGAGGGGAGCAGAGTTCGGGGGTTTCCTCCTTCTTGGCCGGGCTTGTGGGCTTTTGCCAGGTGTATGGCAAGCAGATTCAGCGGGTGGATCCTTAAGCGTTGTGTGTATAGGAAAAGATTGACTCAATCGGGAGGTGGGGGGAAGTACCCTGGCTTTTTTTGAGATTTTTGGAGAGGGGGATCTAATAGCATGTGACGTCTGGAAAACGGATGAAATTGAACAAGGATCTGGGAAGTCTTTGTAAGGAGGCTGAGTGTTTTAGGAAAGGACAACGGGAACCAGTACACCTGTTCTTCTTGCTCTTCGTTCAGGGGGAATAAAATGCGTAATTTATAGAAGGCCATCGCAGAGTAAATGGAGAGAGGTTTGGGAAAGCGAAATAGAAGTTAAAATGGGAAGGGAGGGCCCCGAGTTAGAAGACTTTTAGAAGGATCCTGTGGGATTTTATGGCGAGTTACTGGTGATAACGGTGATCAGAGCCTAGGGCAATAAAAATGAGAATATTACATTACATTACATATTACATTATGAGATCTACTGATTGTGTTTCCCTGGATGTAGTAAGAGTTTCTTTTAGTGAATGTGTACCTGTAATGAAGGAAGTAAATGGAAAAGACTACGCCTCCAGTAAGATAAGGGTTTGGATTTTTATAAGCAAAGAGCAGTATATATAAATGGCAATCTCTGCAGTTCAGGGCAATAATGCTATCTTCTAACATGACAGAATGACGTATGTTTATCTGTTATATGTATATTTTTTATCAAAGTAGCATACATAGCACTCCACCCTCTATTTTCCCTCACAACAACTATCCTGTGTGGTAGGTTTGGCTGAGAAATACTAACTGAACCAAAGTCAGTCAGTCAGCTTCACTGGCTGAGGGTGGACTTGAAGCTGTGATTCAACTTCTTAACCATTCAGCCACACATATACAGTAAGCATCAAGTTCCATTTTTAACTTTCTGAAGTACTCTATGAAATAGATTGAAAGGGTTTTTTAAAAATTATGTAACTGGTTTATTTGAAATAGTAACAAAGAGAACTCAGAATGTGTGTGGTTGCTTCTATGCTAATCTATAATTTTGTAAAAAAAAATTACTTGGCTTTTAGACTGATGTTTGATTCCTGCTGGTTTGGTAAAGCTTAAAGGCCTGCTTAGTTCCAGCAGCAACTTGAAAAGTTTCTAAGCTTAGAAAAGGAAGCTAACTGGACAATGGTGTGTTTTGATTTTGTTTTTTTTAAACTGGGAAAGTTTTCTTTGCAAATACTTTGAGATGAAATGTTATATAATTGAGGAAAAGCTGGTACCAACAGAATCACTTCCATTATAGACATTGACACCCTCTGTGCCCAAATGCATGTACCTTTTGAACCTCTTCCTAGTAATTGGTATTCTTTCTTTACTTTTGCACTAAATGAGTTTCCAAACAGGAAGCACACTGTATGCAACATACTGTATGTATGACTAATCATGCTTTTGTGTAGTTGTCTTAGTGACCAGTCAGAGATCTACCAGAACAAGATTTTTATCATGCAGAAAGTTTACAGTCAACAGTTACAAACTCACATCATGTTTAATCCATATGCATCTATGAATGAAATTATGAAGAATAAATACCCCTTTCTAGCCTTATCTTCTATGAATTAAAATGTGATGATATAACCTAATGAGAAGGGCCATTTTGTTTTAGGTAGAATGGTCTTCAGTCACCATAAGGACAAGATTGGGAGTACAGTATATGGCTTTCTAGATGTTGAACTACAGGTTTCAGCTCCCCATCTGTTGAAATCAATTTTAAAGGCATTGGGATATTGCTCTTCTAGGTCAGGGGTGTCAAACTGCCAGCCCGCAGGCTGGATGCGTCATCCGGAAGCCGCGCCCATCCCATTGCCGGCAATGGCAAAACTGGCCCGATACGATGCGTGACGTCATGTGATGTCGTGAGTTTGACATGTCTGTTCTAGGTTAATGTAATGAATTAACAGGATTTTCAGGAGCATGACCTATGAGCTACATTTCATTAGTCAAATCAACACTCAACCATATATTCAGTCTACAGCTTGATATAGTTTATATGTTTGAGTTTCAATTTTTTTCCTCTCATGTGGAATGAAATTATTTTTGTAAATTTCATAGGTCTTTTATAAAGTAAGAGGTAATGAATTGAATGGGTTCATGTCTTTTGGAGGAAGATTTTTTTTTAATCTTGATGGATATTTTAACATTTATTTGTTGTGTTATCTCAGATCTGGAAACGATTGTTCCTTATGAGGACTCATTTTCCCCAGAAATATCCTTAAATATTTTTTAAAAAATCTAAAAATGGAGGGTCCGGTAATACTTCGAATATATAACCTTTTGATTGTACTATTGCAACAATGTTTGCAAAAGACTTCCAAATAGGATTTGGTTTTGGATTTGGTTTCCCAATGAACATACTCCAAAGTACTATTTCTCCATATGACCTGGAACTTAGTTTTAAACTGGAATTAGTTGTACTTGAGAAGCCTTCCAAAATAATATATAGTGTAGTGGGAGTGAGAAACTATATACATGGCTCTTCTAATGTTTCTTAGCTTCTTTTTTCTCTGAAAATTGCATGCGATTGTGGGGGTTAGTTAGGAAGCACAGTATGTGTATCTAACCGGATGTGTTTAAAGAAATCTGATATTTTTATTGGAATGTTAATATGTAGGTATTCAAACTTGATTTTTTTTAAAAGTTGTAGAATGTTTTATTTTGGGGAGTTAATTTTACCAGGGGGAAAAGGACCTAGGTTAAAAAAAAATGAAATGGCAAGTATCAGGTAATATTATAAAGAAATTAGTTTTAAAATGGTCTTTTGAGATGGGCTAGATAGAAATACATTATTACATAAGAATTCCAAGATGCTGACTTGCGTGCACGTGTTGGGTTAATTCACAGTGTTGTCTGTTTACTTTTGGCTTAGCAGGGCAACTGATTCCAACCACAGTTATATATGAATCATGGGTTACACCTTAGTAATACAAGTGAGCTAGGGGAATATGGCTTATGCAACAAATTCAGACAAAAGTATGCCTTAGCATGATATGTGAATCCAGTCTCTTAAATTAGAAATCTTACTGAGATATACTAGCTTCCTCCACATCACCTTTAGAAACATTTGAGCTATCCTCCGGCAGTGGCACCAAAGGCAAATGGGTATTAGGGTAGGTGCTTAATGATTCCTGAACGTTTGTTGCTCTGCAGTGTTCATGTCTTTCCCTCTGACTGTTTGCTCTGCTATCCTGTTGCACCAGGATAAGACTTCACCTTCAAGCTTAGAGTCTGGTAAAAAATCTCCAGGCAAAGCATAGATTGAAATAAGGATTCTGGATGCCCGCAAGTCACTGATGCTGGCAGATGCAGCTTAGTACCTCAGTTAACTTTGTGGGGGACAAACTGATGGCATTTAAAACTTACTTACTTCAACTGATTATGCCAGATGAAAGAGGTTCATCTGTGGTGTCCACGGGATTTCTATTGTTTTAACTTCTTTACGTAATTGTTCGTATTCACAATTGCTTGCTTGGCAGTGTTCCCAAGTAAATGTCTTCGCTAACCTGCTGGGCAGCTAATCTGTAATTGCCATTTTTTCCGCATTCTTTTTTGTCCTTGAATATGCTGCAATATATTCCTTGTACATCTTCTAAGTTAAATTCCACACCTCTTTTTGTCTTAGCTCTAGCTAGCTGCATCCATCACACTGTGGTATATTGCTACATATTAATGCCCCCCCCTTTTTTTTCTGAAAAAGGCATTAAGGCAGCTTCTTACTTTTAGATCTCCAGATGTGTGTTAGGCTGCAAATTTTATTATGCTTGGTCAGCATGCTGATGATAGAAATTGTAGTCCAATGCACCTGGAGAGCACCAGATTGGAGAAGGTTGTGACCAAAAAACCCCTCAACTGCTGTTTTTCTGAAGCCAAAATTATCGCAGACCCATCTTGCTCATGATGAAATTTAGACCAAAGAGAGGAACAGGGGACATACAAGGGCTTTTCTTCAATTCATTGGTCACAGTTTTAAGTAGTCTGAAAGCTTGTCGATCCAAGCAAAAGGTATTTTTTTAAACCTCTGGTGACATTCAATCTGACAGGAAATCTATCCCTCTTTTCATAGATAGGGTTTCCACTAGGGCCAGGCATCCTGAATATTTACTTGTTGAAAAAAACAGCTTAGCTGCTGCTGGGGGAAGGCTCACCGACAATAATTATGTAAGCTAAGCTAAGCTAAGCTGGCCTGCAAACAAGATAGAAGCTAGCCAACGTGGAAGAAAATGCAAAAGCTTTGCATTTCTGATCACTCCTCCCAACTGAATTTTAGGAAGCGTCATGGGAAATTGAGCAGGAAAATTGCTCTCTCTTCTTTAATTAAAGTGTCTAATAATTCCAGTTGGGAGTCAGCCGCTGTATGTGGGGCTTTTCTGGCAGAAAGAGCTTCCCATCCAAAGCAAAAGAGGCGAAAAGGCCAACTTCTAAGAGCCTATCCTCCGTTGCATCTAACTGCAGCATAATTATGTCCCAGCAACATCTTTTTTTTTTCTATTGTGTTCTCACAATTTTGGCCTCATAGAGGTGGTGTAAAGAGAGGACCTTTGGAGATGGGATCACCCCAACATCAGATTGGTCTGGCATGATTCTTCTACAGTCCCTAAACACTATCTTCTGGACTCTTCTGCATTGGATAGCAAACAACTCCAATTTTTTTCAGGCGGGATTTCTCCCTGTAGCCCTCAGGTTGGTGAGTCTGATCTTATGAGGTCAGTCTGAACAGCAGGTGATCAGTGGTGGCAAACAGAGGTAGGGCTGCAAGGTGAAGTGAGAAGAAGAGAACTACTGTTTATTAATTAATGACCTGCTCTCTGTGCCTATTAAGGCTACTTTTGAAAACACATTTAGTAGTCTTCTTTAATAGCACTGAACTTGTATCTAAAATTGCTACTTGACAACAAGTTGTAAAACAAGTAAAGTGGAAGGTAGCAGCCAAGGATTTAGAGAAATGTACATGTTATCAGGTTAACTTTTCCAATTTCTGCAGGAGTGAAGATGGTATCGATATACACAATTAATCCTGACATTTATGACAAAATTCAGATTGTAGTAACCTTATTGAACAACTTGTACTTTGGGGAGTGGAGTAATGTTTGTCCAATGCTATTAAGTTTAATTTTCACAAGTACAGAGATGATAATCTGAGAAATCACAGATACAGTGATACAAGAGCTTCAGAACCAGAAGCAGATAATCAGAAGCCCTCTGAAATTCATAGATTATGATTTTTACAGTCCTTTTCTTCTAACATTCCCCCCCCCACTTCTCAAGAGGAACAAGAGCATTTGCCCTTAGAAGTTAATTACCCCACAGCTGTAGTATGATTTTCACATTGTGAAAATCGACTGAAGAACTTCCTTCCCCCCATTATATGTATGAGGATTTCCCCACAATGTACACGTAGGACTTCAGTCCAGGGCACCATGCTAGGTCATGCTTGTAATTTACTTGCAGCTTTCTGAATCAGTGGGTGATGCCTCTGTTAGGTTATTCAAGAACAAAGGATGTTGAATTTAGACTCTGGGAAAGTTTGGTAGATTTCTATTCAGGCCAGCTAATCCTGGGGATCTTTCAGTTCCAGGTATATGCCATGCTGTGGAAGTCTGGTGATCCGAGACCCTCATACTATCAGCAGTCTTGATTGGGATCTCAGTGGTCAGCACAGCCGGACATTTATCAGCTTTACAGGACCTTTCATCAACAAACGGAAGGAATATTCAGAGAGGAGGATCATTGGGTGAGCTGACATGGCTTGCATGAGGGTGTTTTCATGATGGAGGAAAAATGTATATACACACTATCTCGAATATTGTTTTGTGTGATCCACACCAGCATCATTTACTTGGGTAATAATGAACAATACAGAACTCTAGGTTTTTAAGACTAGAAATTTCGTAGTCCAAAGCAACTGAAGAGGACCTATTTCTAACGTAAGGGATAAAAACACAAGGCAAGACCCGTGGTATCCAAGTTATGGACTGCCTAATCTGGTGTCCTCTTTCCCACAGTGACCAGTCAAGTTTTACAGGAAGCTAAGGCAATACAGGTAATCGGTTTAGTGACTGTTCAAAATTACAACGGCACTTGAAAAAGTGACTTATGACCATTTTTCCCGCTTACGACTATTGCAGATCCCCGTGGTCACGTGATTTACATTCGGGTGCTTGACAACTGGTTCATATTTATGATGGTTGCAGTGTCCCCGGGTCATGTGATCACCTTTTGCGACCTTCTGACAAGCAAAGTCAATGAGGAGGCCAGATTCACTTAACCGTGTTACTAACGTAACAACTGCAGTGATTTACTTAACTGTGGCAAGAAAGGTCGTAAAATGGGGCAAAACTCACTTAACAAATGTCTCAACAATAAAAATTTTGGGCTCAATTGTCATAAGCTGAGGACTACCTGTACTGAGGACTACCTGTACATAATCAGCAAAATCTTGAGGAAACTGAGGCTGCTTACTTCAGGATAACAGTACCACCAATCTCCTTATATTCTCCACGAAGTATTACCTTCCCGTACCTATGGAAAGGTGGAGGTGTACAATCAAGAGTCAGAAAAGGAACTGTTATGTGCAGATTTACCTAGGCTATTATTAGTTTGGATTATGCAATCAGGGATTAGTTAGCTTAAATTCTTCTCCCCAGCTCATGGGAGGGAAGAATGATCTTGATTGGCCATTTTGTTATTCTTCCAAGCTGTATGATACTTGGAATCTATAGATAACATACACTGATTGTGTGGCCAGTAGCCCTTTCTAGCCTTATCTTCTATGAACATTCTCGATTTGCTGTATATTCATTCTGCCTAACTTCCTCTGCAGCAATAAGGAATGTGTTATCAAAAAGAGAACTGAACTTTGCTTGCAATTGATAAGTGGGTTGGAAACATGGATGTTATGTATTTCTTTATTTGTAGCAGGCTGCAATCATATCCAAGATTGTGAGTTTGTTATCTTCTGCAGTTACATAAGCAGAGAAAGTATTTGGGAGAATTTGCTGATAAAAAAAGAGAGTCCCAGGGACTTTCTCTCCTTCTGTTACCCTCCTCTTGCTCCGTCTCCTTCTGTCTGCCAGTTCTGTATCAAAGATCTTATTTCTTTGTTATTTTTTCATTTTTTTACCAGATTTTTAGAAAGTTAAGAATAGAGTACAAAGAAAAATATTAGAGTAAAAACATTCTAGAATAGGGGTTCTCAACCTTGGCAACTTTAAGACTTGTGGACTTCAACTCCCAGAATTCCTCAGCCAGCAAAGCTGGCTGAGGAATTCTGGGAGTTGAAATCCACAAGTCTTAAAGTTGCCAAGGTTGAGAACCCCTGTTCTAGAAACATGTTTTTGTCATACTTTCTCCCCCTCCTTTCCATTTGTTTCCCAACAGCTAACTTAAATATTTCTATTTTTCTCATTGTTGTACTGTGATTACTTCTTGGAAGCTTTGTGTTGATTTTATCATAGTTTTTTTTTATTTGTTCCATTTCTGTGTCATATTTCAATAACCATTTACAGTTAGAATAGTCCCAATAGATGACCTTGGGTTTGTATAAGTGCTGCAATTTCTGTATTTTTAATCAAGGTTCTTCCCCCTTTCTTGTAATCCCTTTTTATCCTTCAAGCAATTTGTAAATACACCAATCATAGTAAATTTGTACCTTTGCTGAGCAATTTTCACTGTGTCCTTAGTCTCTTTTCTGAATCTAGATATACTGTGCCAAATATGCATAAGTAATTAAACCTTTCTCACTGCACAGTAGTTGTCCTTGAAACAGACATTTGACAATAAAGTTAATGGTCAGATTTGCAGGCTTATCTTTGCTTTTAAGAGATTCCATTTTTTTTTCAAAATTTATCTTATGTTATTTTAAATTTCTTTTTTTAATATAGATACCTATAAGATTGAAATTTGCATGGAGTTTTGCAAGACTTGGAAAGAGGCAGATATTATATTAAATAATTTACTGCCTGTCTCAAATAACAGAATGCCTGTTAATCTCCAAACAGCAGAATATATCAATCATAGAAGGAGCCAGGCTCTATTTCTTGTACATTAGTTCTCTTTGATACAATGGAATCTAAGGGAATAAGTAAATGAAACATCCATCCTATTTCTTCCATTCTCTTCTAAAACAAGATCTTGGATTTGACAAGTGGAGAAGAAATGCAATTTTGAATGTTTCCTTTCAATGTTCACAGCTTAATAGATATTCCAGCATCCTGTGGTATGCATGTACCTATGTCACTGTGGACATGTGATCATTGTGGATATAACATAAGGAGTCACTCTCGCTTTATTTGCAGTTATTCCATGCAGGAAATGTATGGTGTTGTGGCCAATGTGAATGAATATAAGGAATTTGTTCCATGGTGTAAGAAATCAACGGTGGTCTCTAAGCGAGCAGGACATGTGAAGGCCCAGCTGGAAGTTGGATTCCCTCCTGTTGTGGAACGTTATACCTCTATTGTGACACTGGTGCAACCCCATTTGGTGAAGGTGAGTTGTGTAGCTGTGGGTTAACCAGGCTGATGATACTTCAGTGTTGCAATGACAATATAATAACAAGCTTTGCGTAATTAATAATTTGTCCTGGTGCCTCAGGTAATTTGGAGGGAAGTTTGATGAATGTGGTGGCACTGGCATTGAGAGAACACTTAATGGAAATTAAAAATATTGAAAGTGATCATCAGGAAGCGCTTTCCCTAAACACGACATATGAAGCAAGATACTCATGAGGCAGACATGAGATACCTGTCTCAAATGCAGGTTGATGGATAAATTTTTATCCAGAGCTGCTGTTATTAGAGTGGGGATGGGAACTCTTGCATTCTATTGGCCATTCCGCTGTCCTCCATGTTGAGGAGAATTCTGGGAGTTGTAGTCCAGCATATCTGGAGGGCGTCAGTTTGGCTAATTCACACTGTGTGGGTTTTGCTGCCAACCTGAATCTTTGCTATTATTTTCCCCAGGCAGTCTGCACTGATGGAAAACTTTTCAATCATTTGGAGACAAGCTGGCGTTTCAGTCCTGGCATTCCAGGCTATCCTCGCACCTGTACCCTGGACTTCGCAGTAAGCACACAAAGGCTAATGGGATTCCTCACCAGCTCATTAGCTCTTGCATAAATGAGGACTGATTTGGGGGCCCTGCATCCATCGGCTTTTAAAAAAGATGGACTTTCCATTACTACTGAGAAAAATCTGTAAGATCCTAGTTGTGAAGGAACTAGAACTGTATTCTGGTGGCAGAGATGTTTCTGGTACTGAGCATTCCTACCACAAGCCTTCATTTCCTAGAGCCGTTGAATGAATTCTTTGAAGCAGAGTAGGGAACTCCAAGGTCATTGAGGTATGTCACTTCTCTGGCCTCCAAACTCTGTACTTGCCAAAGGCAGTCCACCTAGTAGATGCCCCTGTGGCACCTACTATAGTGGGAGCTATAGTGTGTAAAAACAAGAAACCATTCCAGTACCTGGATAAGTACGTAAATCCTGTACCACCCATCCCATTAGGTTACAACCTTAGCTATAAAGATCTCCCTTGCCAAATCCATTTCCATGGAAATCTTGATTTTATAGATGAAACATAAGGAGCATAGGTAAGTCACGAACAAGTCAGCCAAGTGCTGTCTTTATGGCAGTGGCTGACTTAGTTAGAGAAAGTGGCATCACTAATAGTCAAAGTTTAGCTACATGTGCGTCGTAAACAGGAACTCTTTGGGGTTCTGTGTCATCCTGCTGGGCACTATTGTTCTGTACTTAGAGCCATTCTTGATGTCCAACTGAGACTAGATTGTGGTCCTCCTTTCCTTCTGCCTCTGCCCCAACTAGAGATGGATCAGCACAAAGTAGATGTCAGTTGGGCCATCCCAATTTATTATCACAGTAATACACCCCCTGGGCAACTTCTGTAGGAAAAAACTGGAGCCTCATCAGTTTTCAGCAAGTAGTTGTACACCGTTTTTATAAGTGTACTTGTTATTCCTGCTGTACTTAAGAATGCTTTGTGTGGTCTCTCCTGATTTGTAATTTCAAAATTATTTTTCCACAGCAAATCTTTTCTAGACCCTTCTCCGGAGCAAGGGGAAGGGCCTTTCTCATTGTAAAATGGCCTAGCTTCACTGTGGAAAAATGATCTTCACAGTAGTCTAATGTGCTGTTCTCTTTCCTCAGATCTCTTTTGAATTTCGTTCCCTGCTGCACTCGCAGTTGGCTGCCGTTTTTTTCGATGAGGTAGTAAAGCAGATGGTGGCAGCCTTTGAGCGCCGGGCAGCGAAGAATTATGGCCCCGAGACCCAAATTCCTCAAGAACTCATGTTCCACAAAGTCCATCAGACGTGAAGGGTGCCTGCGGCTTTGGTCACTTCAGCGGACACTTGAAGTTGGGTGTTTGCTTGCAGCATCCCAGCTGTTTGTTTTTATCTATTTATTTGGTTTCTCCTGATATCCTGTTTAATTTATCCACTGGGCCTGGTGTGATGACCAAGACTTATTCCTAAGGAAAGGGTCAGAGTGCCATGTTACCTCTGGAGCAGCGTCTCAGTCTTCACTTTTATTTTACCTGACAGGAATTTTATGCTTTTTAGCATACTTCATTTGAAGCTTCTTTCTATGAAACATACCACTGTGGCTGCCTTAGATTGTAGTTTGTGCTGTTCCTTGACTTCTTGAGAAAGAGGTAGCAAAAACTTAAGTTCTCTCAGTGGGCCTAAGGACGACCAGTCCACTTCTTGATAAAAGAGAAGGGCCTACTACAGTAGTTGCCCTGGGGGTGGCTTTGGCATTCTTTGGTGCATCGGATTCTTCCACCTTTCCTATTCATCATTTGGGTTAGATCAGAAAGAAATGGCAGCCACTTAGCTGCTCAATGAGTGCCTTTTTTGAGGGAATGATGGGGGTCAAGGAAAGGCTTTCTTTTGGAGTTGGGATTATTTTAGAAAATAGATGTTGCTCTTAATGAAAGTATTTTGAGATAGGAAGGAACGTGAGGGAAAAGAGAGTGGTCCTTCCTATTGCAGCACGACTGAAGCTTTCTTTAATGTCCAGCTTGTACGGCCTTCCAAGATGATTTTATACCAGTTTCAAAATTCAAATGTTACCCTACCAGCAGATGTTTTGATTGCAAGCACTTCAGAAGTTCAGCAGCCAGGATATTTTGGGAGTAATTAAATCAGCAAAGCCACTCTTATGACCTAACTGGCTGTTTCAGTTTACTCAGCTCTACCTCTGCTGCTCTATGTGAAGAGACTGGAAAATGGCATTAGCAGGCCGAGAGCTTCCACTTTGAAGAAATAGTTCCCATCTCTTCAAAACTGTGTCTTCCATCACATATTTTTGTACCACGAGCGGCTGTATCTGTTGTAGTTCAGTGAAGATGAAGCTTCCAGGGTGAATGTGGGAGAGGAGCAATTAAGCATCACGTCGCCAAACAGTTTGTGGGAAGAAATTTACCTGGAATCTTCAGCAAACCAGCTCCAAGATGAAAGACCTCAATTCCTGGCTGCTGTACTGGCTATATCCCCATTGTGGGTATCCCCAACCCTCCCTTTCCCCACCCCATTAACATAATTTTGTGTTGTCTAGTTTGGTGTAAACCCTCTGTCCCCTTTCTAGTTACCAAGGAAATTTTATTTTTGTTAAAAGCACTATTTGCACAAACCACGTGTGTGCAGGATTGCCAAGGCTAGGAAGAGAGTGCCACTTTGGCTGTGTTTCTGTGGAGAGTGACCAAGCTCCCGAACAAGTGTCTCTACCATGTAGGCTTGGATCATCCTGAGCGTGATGCTAAAAATACTGGGGTGTGTGCATGTGCAGTCTGATGAAGATGCAACTTTGGGGGAGTGTGAGAGAAATTCTAGTGTATCAAATATGTATATTTTTATGGAAAGGGCTGGGTATCACTGTAACTCATAAAAACGAATGTTTTCGGGGGTTGTCTAAAATAAGATGCCTAAAGGTTAGGCCCTGCTTCAATGTGCCAAAGGCATTTTGAGAAGCCTTTGCCTGTGGAGTGTTTACAGGGGAGGAGGGAGGAACTATTTTGTGTTGAAGGAATGGCTCAACAGGGATATGTGACTACCATGATTTTTCTCAAAACTTTCTCCTTAGGACCAGACTCTCCAGACTTAATTTGTCATAGATAAAAGTCCATCAAGTTTGAATAGTGAGGAGTGAGTAATGCACAGATTCAGGGGTAAGGTAGAGCATGTACTGGGGGCGCCTGTCATGAAGCAGATTCCTTTGATGTAAGGGGAGGGGGGAAATCTGCCAGGGTTACTTCTGTCTGTGGATTGTAATCATTGCCAAACTCTGGGAAGGAATTGCTTGATGCAAAGCAGTTTGGCTTTGAGGCAATTTCCACGAATCAGTCAGCTGCCACTTCTCTTCCTGGGTTTTGAGTGTTGGCTCCACTGTCATGACAAGAGTTATGTGGATCTGGCCCTATAATGGCTACCTTTTTCTCAGCAAATTCCCAGCTATCATCATTCATATTTAAATATGCTCCTATTCCTTCCACCCTCTTAAACTCATCAACTGCTTAATTCCTGTAAAATGCTTTGAGATTGCTCTTTATCTTAGTTTGTCGTTGTGGCCTATGCATGACTAGCTTCCACACAGAGGGCACAGCCTGCAGTAGTCTTTAAGTCTCAGACAAGATTGTGTTTGTATTTTTAAATTAGACTGCCTGGAATGCTTGCCTGAACAAGTATCTTCTCCCACCCCCTTTTTAAGAGTGGCGAAGTCACTCCTAGGAAACTTCAAATATCTTAACGGTCTAATAATATCTAAGTCATGACAGTGTTCTGTCTTCCTCAGCAGATTGCATCTTGGGTTATGATTTTAAAAAGAAAGAAAAAGACTGCAACTTTAGAGATCTTCCTGACTAGCTGCCCTTGTTATACAAGGAGGATGAGCAGTTGGACTAATAGAAAATAGTAAGTTTCACTGACACAGAACAGAGCCTTTAAATTTAAATCCAATAATGCATGGCAGATTTTCACGCAGTATGTATAAACTGTAAGCAATACACTGTAAATCCTGAATACAGCATACAGTATATTTCAATGAAGCTCAATTATTTGGAAGAACGGGGCATGTTCAAATCCCACTCTGCTGTAGTGGCTTTTTTCAGCTGCGTAACTGTACTATGAGGAACAAGCATTTCAAAACACTTAATATACTGGTATTAATAATAATGTAACTTAAAGAACAAACACTTCCCCAAAGATTTTGAAATACATTCTTGGTCACCTTAAATTGACCAAAGCTGCAAACCTATTCATGCTTCCTTGAGATTGAACCCTGCTAAACATGGTTAGACTTCTGCATAATCATATTAAGAACTGCCCAGGTTTAGAACAACTGGATAGCTGTGCAACAGTCCAAGAGAAAGATTAAGGGCAGTTTTGACAGCAGTGGTCTGATTAAGTGTGGTATTGCTGTTCTCCAGGAGTAAAACCAAAGCCAAAAACAAAAACTTGATGTATTTAGAAATCGGTGTCCAAAGAAACCTAGTGTTCTCTTTTTAAAAAGTTTCTAATTGCTAGGAATAACATTGTTTAAGAGTCTCAGAAAGCAAGCAACCACTTAGGGATCTTGTAGCTGCCTCCTGTATTTTCAAGATTATAAAACGCAGAATTGTGCAATATTCATATTGTCCATAGCGTTCCTAGAATGCTAGTTTAGAATAACACTTGTCCTGGCATCAATTTGACTTCTGAATAACAATACAGGAAGGCATCTACCCATCCATGTCTGCCTTTATTTGCTTTTCATGCTGAGATCAGCTGATGTTCTACAAAGCTGGTTTGTTCATGAATATAAGGTATACCTCACACAATAGGTTTGTAATAATAGCCACTATGAATGCTGATTTCAGAGGTCCTTTTAACACAGGTGGATGCCTCTAAAACTAAAAAAAAAGAAAAGGCAATTTTGCATCTATTATTTTGCTAAGAGGGGACCAAATCCAGCTACTGTTAACGAAGGTATGGTGGCTATTTTTAGTCACTGATAGGCAAATTAATCTTGAAACATATTAGAACTTTTTCTCAAGGAGCAGGATACAGATTTGCAGCTCTTGTTTACTTTAAATTATTGTAAATGAAATATTTGAATCATTACAGTAATTTTTTTTCTCGATCATCTCCACTAAAGTAGCTTTTATGCAGATCCAATTATTTGAACTGGAATCCCATTGAAATCAATTGGATATTAAATTAGGCACAACCAAAATCAGGCATTGTAGCATAGTTAACAAATTTGTAAAGTGAGATAAGCAGGCTGTCCTGCCCAGGTGCTTTTTTTAAAACGTTTTGTTCCTTAAGTTTCATACCAGTTGTAGCATAGCTGTAATGGGTTTTTTTGCTAGCATCTAATGAACCTGAAGAATATAAGTTTTCTCAAGTCCATCTATATTAAATGCCTAATTTTCTGCTGTCTTTTGTCAAAACAATGTCTTAAATTTGTGCCTTCTGTTTCTCCCTCTGCACATATTTTTATTCAATTAGCTGTCTTATGTTCCTTAGCCTGGTACGTGCTACCTCACATTGTAAGGGTATGTTTGTAGACAAAAAAAAAAAAAAAAAGGGTAGACAGAATCATGCACAGTAAATGAAATTATTTTCCCCTATCCTTTTTCCTTATTTGATCATTGAAAAACTGAACAATCCCAACTGCATTTTTATAGACTTAATAAAATGTTTGTGAAAAGATGCAGCGATTTTCTGTCAGACATTGTGCCTTATATGAGGGCAGGGATGTGTTGGGAAGTCAGCAGGACATCTTAAGGGTCACGGGATGTTAGAACGCAGTTGCTAAATAAGGACAGCAAAATTCCCCTTCTAGTGTAGGGAAGTATTTGCCTACTTCAACCACTGCTCTGCTCTGGAAGGCCTGTCTGGGTGCTTGTACTCTCTCATGCCCTCAATTCCATGAGAAATGAGAAGCACCGGACTGTTTTACAAAATTGATAACCACACACTGCAGTGCAAGAGAGGCTAATTAGCACTGACCTTACAAGAAGTGAACATTAAGCACCGATTTTGCATAGAAGAGACCCAACAAACACTGTAGCATAGGCAACTACAGTACATCCAAGCCAAGACATAACATAGACATGTAACATAGCCTAGAAGTATGGGCTGTTTCAGATTGAGATTTTTGGCTCTCCCATAAGGGGTTTCTCAATCTAAAGCTCGTAGCTTCTGGAGAAAGTATTTGCCACTTCAACTGCTTCAATTTATTCAGGGGAAGCAATCTTTTCTTCAGTAGATGAAGAACCTGGGTAACGTATACTGAAGGTGAACTCCCTTTTCCTCAGACAGGGCCTTGCTGATTCATTAAGAATTTAAAGTTTTTGTTATGCATACTCAGATCAAAGAATCAGAAAGGTGTTGAAAAAAAATTACTTGAGCTGAATGAAATTGGTCAGCCATTCGAAGATTACATTTGACTCCCAGTAACATGCGCACACACAAATAAGCATCTCGATAGGTTAAATAGTAGTTTATAAAAACCTATGCAATGTTTAGCTCCAGCAAAATTTCCAGCTGGGTCTTTTCTTACTTGGCTTTCTGCCAATAGAGAGGACTCCCAACAGGATTAATGACGTAGTCACTTGATAGTGAGATGGGCAGCGTATAAATTTAATAAAGCAAAATCCCACCAGAGAAAATCCTTCTACTCCTGTTTGGATCCTTGGAATTGAATTTGTATGGACCTATTCATGCGGGATCCACAGCCCAGCTTCCTCCCTTAACTCTTTCAGTGTCTGAGAGCCATTACCTATGGCCTTGTATGTGATAGGTCAATAATTTTCAGTCATATGTTTTTGATTATTGAAATACCACTATTTTAGTCAGCTCACTTTCTGGTCACATAGAAAATCACTGCTGTACATTTCACCCTAAAGACTGCTGTACATTTCACCTTAAATTACTGTACATTTCACCGTAAAAAGCAGCTTCAACTATTGTTAAGTATCTATTTCTCAAAGAAAACTTTTAAAACAGAAGCTGAACAGATAATTAAGTGTGCATTTAAAAGATGCTTCTCACCTTTGAGTCCTGTCCGGTTAGTCAACCTAATCTCAGAATGAAATACACATCTTTATCTTTGAGCATATTAAATCAAAGCTCACAATGCAGGTTTATAATTCAGCAATAGATTTTTTTAAAGCAAACACATTCAAAATAGGGCAACCTGTACAGTAATGCAAAATGATGCTATTCAGAGGAAACCTGTATCAAATGCATATTTTCATTAATATGTTTTAGACTCTGATGCTGCTGGATCAAACAAAAACTATTTGTTTCTGTGTGTCCACAAGAGACCTGGGTTATTTATAGAATGTTTCTGGGAAGTTCATTCCAGCTGCATTTCATTCCCCTCTATGGCGCACACCCAACCAATCCACAGCAGATATTGACTTCCTGCCAGTGTGCACTATGCACTTCAAGGACAAAAAAAAAAAAAAGTTCCCGAGTTGAACTGAGGTTTTGATTGGAAGATCTAATTTCAACTTTTGTACATCTACAAGCTTGCAGCCAAAAGTCTACAACTACGTTTTTTTCTGAGTTTGCAAGAAACAATGAATCAATTTACTGTAGATTGTCCCATCAATGTGTTAGTTTGTTTGAATACCGCATGTGAACGCAGAATATTGAATAAAGCAAGGAAGTGCTATATAGCATAGAAAATGATTGTATGTACAATTTGTCACACAAAACAATGCATGATCTTGTACCTAGACTACTTTGATGTACTTTCTTAATATCAGCATGGGAGGATTTGCTTCTGGAACACAGAACGTTTGTCTGTGTGCCCCTCAAATATTATAGCAAATGACCAAATTTTGGCAATACAATCTTTCAGAAACAGATAGGACGACATTTAATTGAGATGTGGGGAATCCTTGCTTCCATTCACATTTTTAACTCTCTCCAACCAGCACAGAATGGCAAGTCAATACTGCCATCTCAAAGGAATTGAGATAAAACCAAATCTTAACACTGTGCATTATCTTTCCACTTTGGTGACAAGCAACTGTGCAAATCTTCTATGCAGGGAAATAGCAAGAGTTATCAATCCAGACATAATTTTATGAGGATCAAGCAAGCACATAAATGTATACTTATGATTGGCCAAAGGAGCCCAGTGAAAAAAATGAAAGGGAAGCCATTTGTGATTTAGCATTATGTGATATGCAAAATCCCTGATGAGCAAAAAGTCAGAACTGGACAGTAGGGTTCCCTACTGCTTTCTGATCCAGGCTTCTTCAGAGTGTAGAAAGTCAGATTTCAGGATGGAAGTACTGAAGAAATCAACAAGAGAGGCAAGATCAGATAGCATAGTACTGTACATTTTCAGGATCCCAAACACTGCTGCATCCAAAGCAGATAGATGTGAAACAACGAAAGGAAAAATCACTACACAGGCCAGCTCTTCTCTCTAACCAGTCATTCTCAGAGCTGCCCCATCTATCCACACAGCAGCTTTTGTTACTCCATTTACTGCCTCACTCCAGTATTCTAAAGAAATCAAATATTCTGGCCAAAATGGGAGGGGTGTGTGAGAGACCAATGGTAAAAAGCTCCAGGCAAAAAAGCTACACCAACATGTTCTCCACAAAAAAAAAAGGACAATGTCACTGTAACTTGTTAATAAAAACATTTATTTTTCAGTTTATACAGAACCATCCAAAGTTTGCAACGGAAGCTGATGCTTACACAGGCACCCTGTGTCTTCAGCTTAAGTGGAGGTTTTTTTTTTTTGAGGTTATAGGACAAAGGATTTCCCACAAACACAGAAAAACAAACATTGGTAGGAGTGTATGAAGTCCTTTCAAGAGAGGAAAGGAGGCGGATTCTATTTGTCTCAAAATGGTGGCAACTGATTTAATGCCACCTTGCAGCATGTTCACAACTGCGCTTATAAAAGCATTACCAATATTTTAGGCAATCTCCACTCCACGTTTCCAATTTCACCACTCTGACGCAGAAGTTAATGGTGCAGGGGAGAGAAAATACGGGAAAGAGGTTTGCAATGTAAGGTGCCGCTTTGTTCCTAGCTATAGCTATCACTATGGCTCTGATTTGGGAAACAAAGCACCATCCCACAAAAATCAGAATACTGAGGAGGAAGTGTCCCACTTGAGAGAAGAGTGTGTGCCCAAAGGAAATCAAGGAAATCAAGTATTGTGGGAGTTTGAGGAGAAAAAAGCAAATTGTCCCTCTTTGTTAGACAAAGAGGTAAGCGATACTTGTTCAGCACGCTACTGTGGTGGCTCAAGCCTCAGCTTTGCCAGCATCTTTACTGTTTTTTAAGAACATAAATCCATTGCTTCACACGATAACAGAATAAAAATAGCACAGAATGGGAAGAAGGCTGGACATCTTGAAGTAGAGGACCATCCCTCCCTCTCACCCACTGATAAAATAGCGACATTCCAAGGTGGCTTAAAAAGGAGCACATTGTTCAAATGCAGAACACCCCATCTATATGGAGATGAAAGGTGTGGTTCAACACAGCATGTGGTAATGACATGATTGTATAGAAAGGGGCAGTGTCCTCTACTCCTAGTGGTAAAACATGGGGCAACAAAAATGAATCTGAACTGGAAAGGAGCACTTTCTTTAGCTTTGGGCATCAGCTCAGGTTGGGAAGAGCTGCCTGTGGAGAAAGGGACATGGGAGGGAGGCCTTGCCCTTCTGAATCTAACTTTTGGTGACAATTAAGGTAATGTGTGGAGGGGATAAGAATCTAGCTTTATCTGCATTTACTTCATAAATAACCTGGAAAAAGTGATGGCCAGTGCCTCTAAGGAAGGATCTTTTCAAGGCCCTTTGAACAAACAAAAAAAGTTGCATTTTCTCTATCATTCCCTCAATAGTTCTAAAACCCTTGCCAATTCCCTTGCTTTTAACCAGACTTTGCACCCACAAGCACCATCAGCCCATCTGTGCTCATGGATTTTGGTCTCTCCAGTGGAAAGCCCAATGCCCGACTCCAGATGAGTTGTGACAAAACGCCAAGGGCTCGAGACACACCAAACAGCACAGTGTAGTAGTTCATCTCCTTCATGCCATAGTACTGCAGAGAGGGTGGAAAAACAGCAATGGTTAGAAGGCAACCCAGCAATATTTCCACGTACAACCTAAACAGGACAGAAGGCATATTCTGTATGCTTTTCCTCCTAATTAACTTAAAGCTGGCTGAGGTCTTGGTTCTGTTGCACACCTTTTCAGAGTCTCCTCATTCTTTTCATACCAAATGCCTGCTCAAGATAACATTAGCACCCACCAGCAAAATGCCCAATTCAAGTGAGCCTGTCTTTCTAAAGAATATATTATGAAAAATGGAAACGCAATCCCCCCTACAGAGTGGATTTCGGCAGGTGGGCAGAAAAGGATTTGTCATTTTTATTTTATTGGACCAGCTAGCACATCAGTCTAAAGTACTAAGAAGAAAATGACTTGCACATTTTCATGCTGCAAAAAAACCATCCATGAATTATTTCTATATACTTGGTGCAATGGTTAAGACACCAGGCAAGATATCATAAGGCTATGGAGCTTCAAACTATTTATCTTTAAATATTTGGAAAGTAGCCATTAAGAAGAAAAAGAGCAACAAACTAAGTACAGCAGTGGTTCCCAACCTTTTCTATACACCACACCCCTAGAACACTTCTGATATATTCTTATACCCCTTACAAAAGTTCAAAATAATAATGAATTATGCATATACACTATAATTTTGAAAACCCAAGTTTTCACACCCCCTGGAATACCATCTCACACCCCTGGTTGGGAACCCCTGAAGTAGAATAAGCTAAATGCTGAGACAGTCTGACTAACATACACAAATTTCCCTCAGCTATGGGTAAGTTCACACTGGCTGAGGTTTACCTGATCAAATTTTCTTTGACTAATCAGTTAGTACCTGAGAGGCCCACCGAACTGTTAGCATACAAGAATTCGATAGCACCTTCTGCAATACATTCTCTGAATATCATCCTTCGTGACCACAATTTCATTCAGCGCAACCATTCATTTTAGTTTGCATCTGAATGCAGAGTACAGGTCTTCCACCCCATCCTGCAAGAAGGAAGGATATTAGAACTAGCAACTCACCTGTAGTAGGACACCACTATGTGCATCCACATTGGGCCAAGGATTCTTGGCTTTTCCCTGCTCCAGAAGCACATTAGGGACAATCTTGTATAACTGGGCTACTAACTTGAAGAGAGGATCTTTGGGAAGATGCTTGAGAGCAAATTCTCTCTGGCAGGTGTAGCGGGGATCTGTCTTCCGCAGTACAGCATGTCCATAGCCAGGAACCACCTACAACGTGAACACTGCTTAGAGTACAGAACAATGCGAGAAACCATGAACAACAGGTTCTTGTGCTTCCTTTTCAATGACTGATCACCAACAATCACAGCTCTCCAGAAGATAAGAGTACTGCTAGCACAACTCTTTTCTTTGTTTTAGAAAGGATAAACCCATCTTACTGTGGAATCATACTTCAACTTTACCTTACAATGGTTCACATGACTGAGTGTAGATATACTGCTGCAATCAACAGTGGGAGGAAGCAGCAGGTGAACATATTTCTAAATGAAATATCAAAATGCTGCCACTCATATTTTTTTAAAGAATGCCTGTGGGGCCTAGAGATATTCTTAAATTATGAGGATGCAAATTTTCTTTGCAGCTGCCACTTATGCAGAGATATCAGCACTCACCCTGCCAGAGTTCAAAGTGTTCCAGATGAAGTCCCTCAGTTTTTCATCAGATACATCCTCACCTAGTTCCTTCTGTAAGTTTGTCAACCACACCAGTACTTCCTGTAACAAAGTAGTGAGATCTGATGACCTTGTTAGGGGAAAAAGAAAAAAGAAGAAGCAGCAGCTCCTCAAAAGCTCTGCTCGGTTTTTGGACCACTTACCTGATTTGCGAGACCGTGCAGAGGCCCAGCCAGACCATTCATAGCTGCAGCAAAAGCTAGGTAAGGGTCAGAGAGAGCACTGCCCACAAGATGACTAGTGTGAGCACTGACATTGCCACCCTCATGGTCACTGCAAAAGGAGAAGGGGAGAGAAGAAGAAGAAGAAGATTTGAGGTGGAGAACTGAAACCTGCTATTAGTTATTGATCAATTCTTGGGGGCAAAATTGCTTTTTTAATTAACTCAATTTTGGCAGTGCCCAACTCCAGACTGGCTGTGTAAGCCTGGGCTGCACAAATCAAAAAAGTAACTGAGGCCAATATTAAAAAAAAAACCCTCAATTTAATTAAAGTTAAATAACAAGTACTACATGGACATGCCGTAAAATACGGGAAATTAGGGGGAAAACATTCCCCTCAGGTTTTTTTTTCTTAAATTGATTTTTTGGGGGGAGGAATAATTAAAAGAAAACTCTAATAAAATATTTTCCTTTGGAACAGTGAATGCAGAAAGGCAAGATTTCTATATACTGCTATTCTTTATTCCATTCAATTTTTTTCTATCACAGCTAGTCCTAGTGGTCCCTGTGGGGCCACCCTCTGCAGCTTCTGCCAGCCCACCTGCCTACAACCCCTGCTCGCCCACCCCTGCTTCTTAACATCTCCAGCATTAACCCATCTGCCCACTGGCCTGCTTACCCAGGACTTCAGCCACAGGAGGTCCTGTCTTAATGGACCACCCAGCTTCTGGATTACAACGCCAACAAAGACTAAAGTGATGCTACGCTTCACCACTACATTGCTCAGTGGCAGAATTCCAGCTCTAATTGCCATCGTATCCCAAGGTCTACCTGTATTTCATGTCTTTTACTGAGAATACAGTATAAAAACCTGACAGTGCTTAGAGAACTAGCAATGCAGGATAATTTTCCAAGGCAACAGCCAAATACTATCCTGTGTCCTGGAGGTGGGCATTACCATTTTCGGCCCTAAAAAAAAAAAAAATTAAATGTTTGATTTGCTTGAGGGCTTATCCAGTGCTAAATTTTGATCTGGAAGTCCATGGATGTGCTTTTGATGAAGCTTCTAAGAACAGAAGAAGCCCCAAAAAGTGCCAAAAGAAAACGTTTAAAACATTTTAAAGTAAATTCAATCAGTAAGTGAAACTATCAGGCTAAATTAGAATTTTGCAGTTGTTAAATGTATCCAATATGGTAAATGTGTAAATAAACCAAAGTATACATGTTCTTAAAATAGTAAAGCAGATTAGTAAAGTGGATTTAGTTCAATAAAATATGGTAGAAAGATTAAAAAAAATGCATACTTTTGTTAACTTTTCTAATCCCCTCCTCCTACCCCCCCCAAAAAAGGGAGTGGGAGGCCATTTTTTTTCCCCATGGCTGTGGACTTTCTGTAATGTTTCCCTCTTTCATGTGCCACATGCTCAGTAGGGTCTGAGATCAACCTCAGGGTTTTTTATTCTAAATCACACTAACAATTTGTGATAACTTTTGGAGGAATTTTGAATTTGCATTCAAGGTTTGGCATAAAGGCTCTAAATTTTCTACCTTTATTCTAAATTATTTGAAGGCCTTTATAATATTAATTCTGTTCAGTATTTGACACATCTTTGCAATCCGGGACTTTTGCAGACTTTAGTTTTTAAAGACAAGTATGACACAGCCTTCCCTTACTGGCTGTCTGACAAAATTAACTAAGAATTATAGGAAAAAAAATATAGTGGCATCTCACCTTCCCAAGACCCATGTATGCAGAGAAATCCCATAAAAGCTGCTTAAAAATTAGGTGTATCATGATGTAAAACCAGGTGACCTATACACACGTCTGATGTCAGGACTAGACTGCAAAGCTAGGGTTTGTGCCATGACATACTTCAAGCTTTTTTCATCATGGTCGTTTGTACCAGACATCTATGAATGTATAACAATATTCAAACATTTGCATTGGGCAATTTTCTGCTGAAAAAAAAAGTTTTTTGCCACTAGGTGGACTTATTCATGAACATTAGCAGCTTTAGCAAGTTTATTTAGATCAATATTGTTGGCAGTCTAACCAACTGCAGCTTCCAGAGGTCCTTGCTAGCCCAAGAGCTTTGAAAAAGTGAAACTATGCAGTGAATTGAACCCAGGAGTTTATGCTACAGCTGAAATTAGACAGTTAAATGTTATGCCTTTGACTAACAATGCCCTCAAAGACATTGAAACCCAGGCCAGCTTCAAACATCATGCAAAATCATAAAGTGAAATTATTTGATTTTGGCTTCCTCTGTTGTATTAATTCAGTCAATGTGGTTTATAATTGACTACGGCTAACTGCAATGAGTGAACCCAATCAACAATGGCTTACTTGACCAGCCATACTTAAGTAACCATAACACGATATGTGAATCCAGCCATAATTCATCCTCACTTACTGACAATTGGGACTGGCAACTCCATTACTAAATGATGCGGTTGTTAGGTGAAACATCATTTCACAGTTTCATCATGGTCATTAAGAATATCACTGCAGGTCATTAAGTCAGATGTCACATGCCTGAAGTTTGTTGACTTCCTGCAGGCTTGCCCATTGATTTTACTTGGTGAAAACCAACTTGTGAAGGTCACAAATGGCAATCGCGACTGTAGGATGTTGTAAATGTATGCTGGTTGTGAACCATCTGAATTGGGATCAGGTGACTGCTGGGATACTGCAAGAGCCATAAGTCTGAAGACTGGTTGTAAATCTGTCTTTTCAGTGCCATCATAACTTTGGTCACTGAACAAGGCAGTCAATAAGTGAGGATACCTGTATTATCATCCACAGCTTAAATCTGTTCAGATACCTCTGCACTTACAAATTTAGCCACACTGGAAGTAGCCACTGAAGAATTTGGATTGCTCCTGTAACAGCTCATGCATTACCCAGAGCTGCAACTATAGCCTCTCTGTGTAATTTTGGATGTGATTTCATCCACTTCCCTGCAGATTGTTTTTAACAATTATCAGTCAGCTGTCACCCAAGCTCTATATATCTCCATTGCTCAATTCAGCCTATAGCTGTAAAAGTACAATAGTGGCCAAAATTGTGGAAACCTTTTGGGAAAAGTTTATTTTTGAAGTTTGATGGCTAATAACATTACTTTTTTGGGGGGGAGTAGTACCATAAAATTGTATATCAATGGAAAGATAATTTAATCAAGAATGTAATGCAACAAAATTTGTTCAATTATCTATACTGTATTCTATGAAAAGTTACAGCCAAATAACCAGAAAAAGGAAGCACAACTTGCTTAGGTTGATATCAGGTAGCTTTCCTTCATCTAATTGTAGCCAATGAGCATGAGTATTTAGAGAGCCAATCAGGTGTCATCTTGGAGCCAATCAGATCACAGTAGGATTCAGTTATTGATGTCATGTATTGAAGCTGAGAGGAGGACATCTGTCAGTGTGTTATGTGATCACTATCAAGTTGGTCTTTTTTTTATTTCATTTAGTAAAACGTAATACAATTAAAGTAATGGTGCAAAGAGTTGACTGGTCGCCCAGAAAGCGATGTAAAATAGTATTATTAAGTGAACAAGGCTACAGTTATAAAGAAATTAGAAAAAAAATTGGTGAAAACTTAACCAAAGGTGGCATTTCTATTGTACACTTTTTCCCAAAAAGGTTTCCACAATTTTGGCCACTACTGTACAGGCACGCTGGCTGAGGAATTCTGGAGTTGAAGTCCACAAGTCATAAAAAGGCCAAGTTTGAAGACCCCTGACCTAGAGGATCTAGGTCTAGGACTTTCATATAGGCATGGCTTACCTGTGAATCGTGAGGTAGAGCCGCATAAGTTCAATAAATTGGGGATCACTGTAGCCCAGCATGTTGGTGAAGTTGTGTGACCAGTCTAAGGCAGGATCAATGGCGCCGATGCTGCTACCCTCACGGTAGAGATTGCGATAGATCTTTGCAGCAATACAAGGCAATTTGGCAATCAAGTCCATGGAGTCTTCATAGATAAACTACAAGGCAAAACAAGAGGAGAAGAGGATTGGAAGGACTTGCTGACAAGACTATTTCCCAGCGGCACGTGATCTGCTGGCAGACTCCCACTGCAGTAGTTTCAATTAAGGCAAGCACATATGCAGTTTTCAAGATGTTCTTCGAATAAGAACATATGCCTTTTTAAAGGTTTTAAAGACCGGTTTTCCCCCTGAAGCTTTGGAAAAAGATTAGATGATCTGATTTCCACCCCCCGAAGCTTTGGAAAAAGATCTGGTTTCCCCCCTCCCCCCCGAAGCTTTGGAAAAAGATTAGATGATGGCACATTAGCAAGTTTGGCTCAGGGTTTCTATTGTTTTTCACGTTTTATGTTTTAACTGGCTGTGTTTTGTAGTTTTTAACATGATTTCATATGTTTTTTAATCTTTGATTGGGAGCGGCCCAGAGTTGGCTGAAAGGTGGACAGCTATATAAATGTTTTAAACAAATAAATAAGCAGGTCTTCCTGTTGGAATTGTAAGACCATTATAAGATTATCCTTAAGGGGCTGGACGGCTCTTGTCCCTTACTTGCTTAAGCGCTGGAGTTTGCTATTAAATATCACCGCCTAGAGCAGTGATGGCGAACCTTTTAGAGACCAAGTGCCCAAACTGCAACCCAAAACCCACTTATGCATCGTTGGGTGCCGGGTGGGTGTGGCCCATTGGCTGGGTGTGGCCCATTGGATGGGCGTGGCTGCGGTGGTAACGGCAGACTGGGTGGGACTAAAAAGTTCAATCAATCAATTCCAATTTTGCAAGACTTTTTTTTTCCCGTGAGAAGTTGAAATTGACTGATTGAACCTTTTTTTTTTTGCACACGTTGGCAGAGGCCTAAAGCGAAAAAGTTTTATAAAACCCAGCTGAAGGCCTAGGACTGGGGCGACGGCGCGCGTGCCCACAGAGAGGGCTCTGTGCGCTGCCTCTGGCCTAGAGCCTTTGTGAAGACTAAAGAATAAGTACCCATAGTAAAGGGGATGGGTAGCAGTGATTTGTTTTACATTCGCCATTTAGACTTTTGGTCCTTATTCCCACCCAGCATTAATGAGCAGCCTGGTGGGATAAATGTGCCAATCATCCTGGTCTTCTGCTGGTTGGCAGATGGAGAACACAACCACAATTGAAAAAACATTTCCAATATTATCTGAACAAGTCTCTCTCTTCAAAGCAGGGCTTCACATCTCAACTGTAGGTTTTGCAACTGTGGCATCGCACAAGTGCCAGGTTACTTCTTACAGCAGCTGCCCTGATAAACGTTCACAATGCTGGTGCAGCCAGGTCAAGCAGGACAGCTAAATCTGTTCAAATCTGTTCAAAATCTGATCTTATGGGAAGGACATATGGGAAAGACATTATGGTAACCACAAAGCCAAAGCATAATTAGATTGGGAAGAAAAATGAATGTTGCCATTCCTGTACTCCTGGGAGCTGTAACATTGGGAAAGGAAGCATAACTAAGGGGCCCGGCATGAGGAACATAAAAAAAATAATTTAAAGCAAGGGAAGACAGAAAACAGCAGACACATGACGGAGTGTGAACAGCTCAGATAAAGCTCTATTAAACATGGGAACTCTGATGTAGAAGGAAGCAGCAGAAAGAACAGTCAAGGCAACCTCATAGGTTGGATGGGAAATTAGAGGACAAGTGGGCAGGAGGGCATTATTTCAGAAATCAAAGAAAAGAGAAAGTAGGATCAGATTCCAGCTACCTTTGCTTTTCCAAGATTGTTCCGACAGAGATTTAGATAGAGAGCACTTTTGAAAGAGTAACTCATCGCCACATCTGTCATAATGCAGCCCGCAACGAATATTTGGTCTAAATATTTTGCAGGACTCAATATTGATAGGAGTTGAAGACATGGCAAAAAGGAATGCCAGCAGAACCGTTGATACTAGCAATCAAATGGTCAGTGTTGGTTGCCTAAAAATGGCTCTGTCAAAAATGTGGAGAATTCTGTGAACAAACTGAAAATGATGTAGTCAGATGATACTGCCGAATGAGTAATATGTATATTATCATGTATTATAAAGGGTTTGCCAGTATGAAAACAGGGCAGGGGGAAGAAACAGTACTGGCTGTTTAGAATGAAAAGTGTCGTGTTTCTTTAATAACACAATGATCAGTTAAGTTTATGCAATTCTTTGGATTCAAAGCAAAAAGATGCTGTGAGGGCATACGTGGTGCCTTTCACCATCTCTTAAGATAAATCTGTCTTTCTGAGGATCATGCTTTATCTGCAGAAGGCCCCTGGGCAATTTCAGGGGAAAAGCTGCCGTAGAAATAACCACATGCATTTTGAGTATCTTTTTGCCTTCAAATTGGAAGGGATGCATAGCTCCAACAATCATTCCAGCTGCAGGAACAGGAAGTCATTTCAGGACATGTCTCAACATACAGTTGGGGAACCTCCAATCAATGGACCTAATCCAGCATACTTCATTGGCCCGTTCATCCAGTGAGCATTTTAGCCCTACCCAAACCTGCCCACATCTCTGACTACTTGATATCTTTCTCCACATTATGATTTTCTTCACATTTCCATAAGAGGTAAAGTAATCAAGTAATTTGGAGCCATGATGAGAAATAGCTAAAACGTGAGTCTACATGTACTCTCTTAGTTAGTCTATCTCTATTGAGGAAGACTTGGAGAGCTCAGCTTCCAGTTCACATTTCTGCAAGGATGGTGGTGTTATCAGTTGTCCCTCATAGGATGAGGTTAGGAATACAGGTAGTCCTCAACGTACGACCACAATTGAGCCCAAAATTTTTGTTGTTAAGCGAGACATTTGTTAGGAACATTTTCCTCCATTTTATGACCTTTCTTGCCTAAGAAGGTGTTAAGTGAATCACTGCAGCTGTTAAATTAGTAACACGGCTGTTACATGAATCTGACTTTCGCATTGACTTTGCTTGTAAAAAGATCGCAAAAGGAGATCACAAGATCCCAGGGGCAGGGCAACCATCATAAATAAGAGTCAGTTGCCAAGCATCTGAATTTTGATGAAATGTAAAGTGTAAAAAAACAGTCGTCAGTCACTTTTTTCAAGCGCTGTTGTAACTTCAAAGAGTCACTAAATGAACTGTTGTAAGTCAAGGACTACCTGTACTGATTTCACACTCATTCTGCAGCAAAAGCTTTTTGTTTTTGCAGAGGGAATGCTCTGGGAAGGAAGTTCTTCAGTGACCAAGCAGCTGCCGAATCAGGCTGCTCCGTCCTGCATGCAGCTGTTTTCTATGAGCAGGAGGCATAGGAACGTTTGGCTCTTTCTCTATGGAAAACTTGAAGAATGACGAGGCGGAGAAGGGAAAACTGATGCATCCTGAAAGTCCACAGGATCTCATTCTTCGCCTCATTTCAAGACCAGATATCATCAGTGGCAAGGATAGAACCAAAGCTATCACTCTTATTTGGAAAGAAACTAATCTCTTCTAACAGACTCCCCAGTTTCAAACCGTTTGCTGAAAAGATTACAGCCAAAGTAAAATTAGCACCGTCTCCCCGCCCCCTGTCATTTGCAAATCAGACAGCAACACCTCCTGGCAGATAAAGATCTATACAGCCAGACCAAAGTCTCCTTGCCTCAGTCCAGAGGGCTGGGCACAGAGGCCAAAGCACATGTCATTACGCTCAAGGTCTCATATTACCAGGACAGCCACAGTCAGAGTCCAGAGATTGGGAACCAAGGTCATATGCTAAGCTGACTCTTGTCATTTACCATGTGCTAATCAGACAATCCTAAAGAAATTGTGTCTACTTGGTCACACAAAGGATCTGAAATGATTGAGCAGTAACAGGATTATCAGGAAAGAAAAGTTAATGACTGGATTAACTGAATGGTTAAAATACAGTAGTAATTCGGAATTTAGTAAAGTTAACTTGCTAGATTTCTTTCCTTTGCAACTGCTGGTTCAGAGGTAAGCTTACATCCCTATCAAAATCCTGATAGGTTAAGCAGCATAGTACTTAACATTAGCAAATCAGCCCTAGAATCAAATTTGTATTTAGCAGCATTTACATACCGTAAATGCCGGCGTACAAGGCGACCCAGCGTATAAGATGACCCCCGTCTTTATAGCCAGGCCACATTCCTAGAACGTCGTCTTATACGCCGGAAACTAGCAGTATTTCCGGCGTATAAGACGACTCGGCGTATAAGATGACCCTCATCTTTGGCGCCGATTTCAGCGCTCACGGAAGTCTTATACGCCGGCATTTACGGTATATTGTACACAAAGTTTTCAATTGGCAGGTGCAATAAAAAGATTCTGCAGAAACAATCTTCAGATTTTGCTGTGACTTTAGTTGTGCTTTCAATTATGCAAACACGATCAAACTTTGACCAACAAAAATTACCAAAAGGTTTACTCCAGTTTCTAAATTTTAACAGGTATAGTCTTTTATTTTCAGCCTTAAAAAAGAAGCTGAGAGAAAAACAAGTACAGGACAATGACTGCACTATGAACTAGAATTGTTCTATGGCACAGCCAAGGCCATTCATGTATGCATTTTCTATTTATACATACATACATACCTACATTTTCCAACAAATAATTCTGGATTTTAATTCTATATAGCTCAATCAGATAGTGAAGAAAATCCTACCACACATTCATAACCGCGCCAAGCTTGAAGTCACCTCTATAACCTCTTCTACCAATGCTTGTGGAAAGCTTGCTGCTTGTGGCTTACCTCCCAATACTTGGTCCGGCTAATTCCTTCAGAGTAGGCGCGGGCAAAAGTGCTCTCGCTGTTGAGAGCTGTGACAGCAGCACTGAGTTGTGACATGGGATGAAGATTGGTGGGGAAGTTGTCAAGCATAGTCACTACATGGGAAGGCAGGGCCGCTCTCTTCGCCCACTCTCGAGACACCCAAGTCACCTAGGAAAAGAAAACCACAACGTTACACGTCTATACCTAGGGGGGAAAGTGCTATCCAACACCAATGCCTTTGGTCTTGGCTGTTCTTGTCATTACTATAGAGCAGTGTTTCCCAAACTTGACAATTTTAAGGCATGAGGACTTCAACTCCCAGAATTCCACAGCCAGCAACGCTGGCTGTGGAATTCTGGGAGTTGAAGTCCTCATGCCTTAAAATTGTCAAGTTTGGGAAACACTGCTATAGAGCTCTTAACTGTTTTCTCCAGCAGTTCTCTAGACACAAAAAAAGGTTGCACAATCACTTTGCAGGTCACTTAAGTGGGATGAACGTGACAGCCTCCCAGCAATCTTTGCCATGTCTTATTACCTGTTCTTGGGAAGGAATCTCTCCTGTCACCAGTAACCAAAAGAGACCTTCGGGAAGGGGCTCTGCACCTCCAGGGGCTTTGGGTAGCAGCTTCTGGCACTCGGGAATGCTGTAGCCACGGAAACGAATGCCCTAAAAACCAACCCAGGAAGCAGGATAAGAAACCACATTTCAGCTGAGAGGCTAAGAGCTAATTGCAAAAGTAATGGCGCCCATTCTGCCCTCCTTACCTCATCAGGATCCAAGACAGAGGTCTCGTATATTAGCCCTTTCATACTCCTCATGCCACCGTAGAGCTGGAGAAGAAAGAGTGTTACTTAAAAGAAGGAGAAATTTGCCTTCACCGTAATCCTCCAGTTAACCCAGTGTAGAAGGCAGAAAAATTCCTGCCTTGTTTGATTATGTCTGTCCCCACAAATATCTGACTGGACAGTATTTGACAGAAATTGGGTCTGAGTCTTCAGGCTTCCTAGTTTCTCCAAGTTCCCCTTCTCCATTCAGTCTGAGATGATTTAAGTCATATTTGCAGTTAGCTTATTGATATACTTTTGCATGTATTTCACGTTTTATATGTCATGGAAAAATTCATGCAGAATTGTTCCCAGGTTTTAGTAATTTTCCGTCTCTTTTAGCACTGTGAAACACAACAGTGATAGGTTTTAACAGTGTTTCTTGCTCCCTGTTTGCCTTAATTCTTCCCCTTTCTATCCACTTTTTTCTCTAGAACAGCAGCTTCAATCAGGTCAAACAGAACAGTACTTTTTAACAAACATCAAGGCTAGCTTTCCAGCTGGCAGTCAGAAAACCTGCTATAGTATTTCACATCAATTTAAAAGCAAATAATGAGATGAGTTCTAATTCAGAAACAAAGCGAGGCTTAGCACAGCCTAGGAAGTTAATAGAAATCAAGAAAACTGCTTTGGCAGCTCCACGCTTGGGAAAGAACTGGGTTACAAATAAAATCAACGATATTGCTGCATTGCTTAATCATGACTAGGCTTTTCCTGACAAGTTAAACTTTTACATCAATTACTGAGCAATGCCAGAAATGAAGTTTCCTAAACTCGTCCCAAAGATTTGTATCAATAACTTTTTCAAGATGGTACTCTTGGATGTTTTAAACTACAACTTTCTTTAAGCCAAACTGTCATGGCCAATTGGATGCGCTTGGAGTGAATAATAGGAGATATAATTCTCCTCATTAGCATAGACTGGCTTGTGGAAAGCTGAAGAAGAAAAACTAGACCTTGAGGCAGTAATGTCAAAATTTATTTCTTTTATTTGTCAGTATTTCTGAACTTTCCCAATCACCAAGGACTCTGAGTAATGAGCAAAATAGATTCAAATTAAAACAACAAACATTAGGAAAACATGAAGATATCTTGGAATCCCCCATTCAGCTTAAGCTAAAGAAGACCTACCATTTGCAAAAAATGTAGGGGCTACATGAATTTATGGAGGGCGAGAATACAAAAGCTTGCAATACACAAAATGAGGGCTACTATTGAGATGGCCTCGTATCTTGTTCATATCTAATGCATCTTGTAGGGACTTTTACCAGACCTTCTTTACATGACTGTTCCACACGGACAAATCTTATTCTACAACGTGCCATTTAGGTTTTAAATGTATAACCTGCATTGTTAATTGAGCCTGGGAGCCTACTGATAACCAGTGTGTCAATGTCATTGAGGTGTTACTCTAGATTTATGGGATTCTCCCATCGGCATTCTTGTACTGTGGTTTATAACAGCTGCACTTCTGGGTCATTTCCAAAGGCAGCCCCTCATAGAGTGTATTAAGAGTATTCCAACTGAGTAGCAATCAAAGTGTGAGTTACCCTCACCAGGGCATCCTGATCTAAGTAGGATTGTTAAATGGTGTATAAATTGGGTGAAAGCTCCCCTAACCATTTCTTCCACCTGCTGCTTAATCAGAAAGCAGTAATCAAGTTGGCTTCCCAAGTCAGACCACCTCCTTCACAAACATGATTCCCACCAGAGCAATCATGAGCTCAATCTTGGTACTCTGCTCTAATGTTTATTGGCAAACAGCAACTCCATCTTGGAGGGGCATAACTTAAGCTTCCATTCAGTTCCTCACAGACTCCCGTCACCGAGTCAGAACTTCTACGACATCTCTGGCACAATCTCAGATGGTGATGTATGGCTGGATATTTTTAGCATACTAATGGCATCACAGCACCAACTTCCAGATGTCCTCTTCCAACAATTTTATGTAGACGTTGAATAGCACAGAGTAAAGGACTGAGCCTTGTGGGACATCACACTGGAGGACCCAAGGGTTTGAGCATTTCTCCCCTATCACCATTGACTATTCAGAGAGGAGGAGAATCATCAAAATGGTGTCCACAACTCTTATATATGGTCCAAACAAGATGTGTTTGATGGTGGTACTGAATGTTGTCAAAAGATCTAATCAATGGGATTAGGTGAGAGGCACTCCACTCATCAAAGTCACAGCAAAGATCATGTAGCAGAATGACCAATACAATTTCTGTCCTCTGTCTGTGCCTGAATCCTGACCGAAAAGAATTCAGATACTGTAATATATTTCTTTTAGAACCCTCTCTAGCTCGTTCCCCACATTTTCACGTTTCTATACCTCTCCTTCCCGTGGCATCTTTGGGAGAAGATGCAAAATGCTACAATATCTTATTATTCCTCCTTGGCCTGGGATTTAAGTTTTGGGAAGTTTAAAAGCATGCCATGAAGGCTCTCAAAAAATAGCTGCAGAGGAAGATAAGCATGCTAATTTAGAAAAAAATTCTAAAAGTTAGACAATTGTAGAGAAGACTCCAAGCCGTTTTCTTAAACGTGTTTTGTTTTGTTTTTTTACTTCAAGACTTAATTTACTGATTCATTTACTGAATCAGAGTAAAACAAGCTGGTCAAGACAGAACTAGGAGATAAGAGGGCAAGATAAGAAACAATGGATGGAAATTAGTCAAGGAGAGAAGCAACCTGGAATTAAGGAGAAACTTCCTAACAATGAGAACAATTAACCAGTGGAACAGCTTGCCTCCAGAAGTTGTAAATGCTTCATCACTGGAGGTTTTTAAGAAGAGACTGGACAGCCATCAATCTGAAATGGCATAGGCTCTCCTGCTTGAGCAGGGGTTGGACTAGAAGACCTCCAAGGTCTCTTTCAGCTCTATTCTGATTGATTAACCTGAGCTCCAAATATCACATTTCACCCTTCTCTCCATAAAACATACAAAGCACCTTTAAGAAAAAAAACAAACCCAAATGCTCAAAAGACATGCAAAATTATAAAACATTACCCTGTTTTTTTTTTTAAATCATGGCTTCCTGTCTCCAGATCATTTCTCCTACCTACCAGTATAATCCTACATACCAAATTATCTTTTTTTTTTTATAGGAGGCATTCATCAGTTTTCGCTTGGTGCTCCCATGAATGCAGAAACACTCAGAAATAAAATTTATACTGAAGACTGTTGCCCCATCTCAACTTTAAGTGATTCTTGTAAAGAGACAAAATGAGGAAAAAGCATACCAAGCAGATGGGAAGAGTGAAGTAGATGCCTGCTAGCAAAGAGTATCACATCGAAAACATGTTCCCTCTTGAAAGCAATGAGTTTCAAAAGTTCCACAAACAGTTCCCAATGGGCTCCAATTTGGTTGTTCCAGATTTTGGTCAAAACAAAATCTGGAGGTGTCTTAGCAGATGAGCAGGGTAAGGTTTCTTGACCTCATTTCTTATGTTCCTCCTACACCTGGCCTGTCTGCTGACCTGCTTGCTAATATTCTCAGTGCCTTCGTTTCCCTATTCACTTGTTAATACCAATGTCCTAAGTTTTTTCCTGATCCCCTGAGCTGCCTCTTCCTGGAACAAATACATGTGCTTTGGTCCAGTCATACGGTAGATAATTAAACTAGCAACTTTGTGCATAGAACAGTCTGTACATCTCCTAAGGATTGCAATGTAATTTGAAGACCCAGGCCTAGTGGATAAACAAGCCTAGGATATGCAACCAAAATGAATGGACAAGAGTGTATCCAATAAGAAGAAAATGTAATTTCTTACAGGAAATCGGAACCCATGGGCTAGGGAAGCAATATCTGATGTAAATATCAAATCAAATGTTGCTTCCCCAGCCCATGAGCCTAAGATTCAACCAGTAGTAGCTGATACTTCTTCACTTCTAAATAAGTGAAGAAATATCAGCTGTTACTGGCTGAATCTTAAACTAAGACAGGAAATTAGACCAAAGCTGAAACAGTGACCAAAACCAGTATTGTGATGTAAGATGGCACTCAGCTTCTAATTTATTATTAGTATGACATAGCTGTGAGCATGCAGACATTTAGAACTGTAGATATATGGTGGAAAGTATCGGTACCATGTGAATAGAAACTTTAAAAAACAGAGAGGTGATTAAGATTTCCAGGGGTTGAAGGTTGGTTACCTCTCTGATAAGCAGAAGCAGTATTACACAAAGTAGTACACGTTTCAGAATAAATTAAGGAAGAGATATTATGCAAAGGCTTTAATCTGTCAGATGTATGCAGGTTGCAGATTCTGAACTGTTCGATATAATTTTCTGTTCAGAATCAAATCTATTGTTATTCGCTCTGAAAAAAGAGGTGGACACATCTTTAATTAAGATCAATTCACCACCAGCAGTAGGTTCTAAGTTAAGAACCTCTTTTAATTTTAGGAGACTAAGCACAAGAGTTGAAGCCATTCAAATATTAAGAAAATAGTTTCTACATAATGCAGATCATTGAGAAACAAATACTAAGCAGTTCTCCAAGATCCCAGAGAGATTAATTCTAGTTCTGGTTTTTGCCAGCTTTTCACTTGAGACATTCAAGATGAATCTTATGTAATCTACAGTTGGATTCGAATCTTATTCCTTTTTTTTTTCATATACTCAAACATTTTCTGATTTATTTTTTATTTTTTATCTAAACCTCATCCTAATGTCTGGAATGCAGAGCATTCCAGCAACGTACCATCATCTCCCTAAAGGCACTTCACCAGATGAGAGCAGCTCTAAAGAGAACAACAGCAAAGACGCTCCTTTACAATTAATTTTGTCTGAAGGTAACAATTTCATTTCCTGCAGGGTATAGATGCGCATTGATGCAGAGCAATACAACTTACCATATCTACAGTAATTTGTCCAATGACAGTACTGCCATATTGTTGTCTGAAGCTTTTAAGTCTTGCTTGTTCTTTGGGTATCATATTCGCAAGAACATCTTTCAGATTCTGAAAATCAAATAACGTCTAATGTTATACGCAACAAATCAGCTATTGTCAATGGTAGAAAACCAATCTAGAAAAGTGATATATGAGAGAGAGAAAAAGTAGATATATGAAATAAAATATTTCTCATATTTGTTTAATAACTATTTTACAACAATCCTGGCTGCAATCTACACGAAGAAAAGTTTTGTCCTAATACCATGACATCTGGTTCACTCAGTAGATTCCACAACCCCTTTTTGTTATTTCTACACTTTTTTCCCCCCTCAGGTCACATTTTCAAATTTTTCACATTTACCATTTTGTTGTGTTAGCGAATTGTCTATGCTTTAATCTAGTGGTTTCATAACTTGCTGATGAAAATGACCTCAAAAATCTTGATTTAATTTTTTAAAGATTTAGTAATTTTGTACCATTTTTGCTCATCATCTTATTTTACCTGAGCACAAAAGAATGAAATGGATTGTAGACTATTTTCTCTTCACACAGTTATAAGTAATCTGAACCTTTTTTTTTCTTTTTCCATTAGTTTTCTTGCATACAAATTAAAAAGGCATGGACTATCAATGGTATCGTATGTTAAAACCATTGGTATAACACAGTGGTAAGCAACTTCGGCTCTTTTATGACTCGTGGACTTCAACTCCCAGAATTCCTGAGTCAGCCATGCTGAGGGGAAAGGGAGAGGTTTCCAAGCTGAGCCATGCTGGCTCAGGAATTCTGGGAGTTGAAGTCCACGAGTCATAAAAGAGCCAAGGTTGCCTACCCCTGGCATTTCAATGGAAATACAAAACTTTAAACAAAACTACATTTTTGCCTAGCTATGGGAATGCTTCTGAAATCTTCCTAACTTAAAAATCAACATGAAAAACTATCACTTCTTCCTTCTCTAGTAACTATAACACTGTATTTATGGTTCTACTATGAATTCTTATCATAAGCATAAATGGTCAAACAACTGCAAACTACTCCTCTATCTCCTAAAATGTATTGTCAATGGGAAGGAGCTACTGAATTTGAAAAGAATATATACTGACACCAAGCACACCAATAATGCAGTCACCAACCTAGACTGGTCTTCAGTATAATCAAGACTCAAATTGTCAACCAACAATTTGTACATCCTACAAGAAATGAAAAACAAAACAAAACAACTTACTGTAGAAGCACTTGCATGTCTCGCAGCAAAAATGATACATGATGAATTCTGTAAAGAGAAAGAAACATTAGTTCTACACTAATAATCCTCCATGCCCTATAATGCACTTTTAGCACACTTTGTCCCACTTAACTCCATCACAGTCCCCTCCTTGACAAATATTGGAAAATACTGGATTTCTGAACCATCATAATCAAGGAACTCTCAGCAGCATACAACAATAATATTGAACTATATAAGCATCACGATATAATACAATCACAAACAATTAAAACCAGTAACTGTTTATTTGCTACGTGAAGAAATGTATAGCACTGACTTTAAGAATGTAATATGGGCCAGCGGCAACCACACTCAAGCACTCAAATTCAGTTCAGTTTGGAACCTCTTGAGTATCTTTCATGGCTGAGCAATGATTTAAATTCTTATCACTCAAGTCTTCTTTTTTTATTATACCCTATTAGCATTCCCATTAGTTATTCCCAAATATGCATCTGGTTTACTACTCGGTTCTGTTAAAATGTTTAGTCTGGAAATCCAAAGAGAAGGGAAGAATGAGATCAGCAGCTGGCTACCCCATTAAGCAGCAACAGCAGCATTAACATAATCCCCAGTGTCAGGTAAGCTGACAATTGTACTGTACTGTAACAATTTTCACACCATGGCTTAGCCCCAGTAAATACCTGACTTACTTCCAGAAAATCAATAAACTTAGGGCTGATCTAGGGGAGGCTCAACATTTATTAATAGTCTCCTGTCAATTTTGATCACTGCTACTTTCGCTGTCCAATCATCATAGGGAGGGTAACACTTGGATTGTTGTTGTTTTTCTCTCCTAACTTGTTGCTAGAAATAACATACAACGCTGCAATCTCTGCTTAGTAGTTGCAATCCAAACTCATTTCATATTCAGCTTAATGCCACATCTGGGGCATGAACAAGTTTCCTACAATCTTAATTACAAAACAGGCTAAAACTAAGAGGTATAAAGCTAGAAAAAAACTTAACTTTTAAATACTGACTAATATTCACTAATAGGTACTATCTTATCATTAGCCTATTTTCTCTACCATACTTTGCACCAACCTACACATATATTTCTCTATCATATGGTGTCTTTTATATGTTTTGGAATACTACTCCCACAAATCTCATTTAGTATAAATAGAGGAGAATATATGTACAGTAGCTCAGGTTGAACTGTAGAGTCCCTGATTCCGTCTGAGTTTGGTAGAGAGTGATTCCCACTTCCTTCTAACATTGAAGGTATTACCTTGTTAGCTAATGAAACATCTGCAAACAAACAATCAAACTTAGAGAGGCCCAAGGACTGTATCTCATCTAATACCGTCAATGGTCAAACTTCCTATGAATTGTAATCTAAATATCTTGAGAACAGAAATATTTGGGCAAATGTTTTTATAATATTTAGCTATCTGGAACTGTTAGGGGGCGGGTAGCAAATATGTTTGATGAAATAAACAGTGCTCTACAAATCAGAGTACCTGGTTCATACTGCATCCTGAGTCAAACCAAACAATCTACATAACGCTTTAACACAATGAACCACCTGTTTAAAAATACAGAATAAAACCATATATGGAGTTACTGAACACCATTTGCCTGCAGGAAAATATAGTTTGGTAGGACCATCTGTAAGAAACTAAGCTTAGGCCATCACGTTGGAGACTTGTTAAAACTCATTGCTTCTTAAATAGATCTGATTTTATCTAATCCTAGCATAGAAATAAGCCACAGTGACAGTGGAAGTCTTTTCCAAGAGGGCTCTTCTGCTGATTTAATTAAAGACTTTGAACATATGAAGCTGCTGCCAACCACAAACAACCCAAGACATTTTCTAGTCTGCCTTGCCTGTCAGCATCTCTCAAGGTTTCAAGACTGCAGCATCTGACAGCCAGGGATTGGATTTTCTGCATGAAAAATATGCACTCTAGAGCTCAGCTGTGACCCTTAATAACGAGAGGATTCTGCATATAATCCTTCAGATTGATACTCTCGTCTAGATCTGAGGCACCAGATACAATGAACTAAAACCTCTGCAAAACCTTTGACAAAATCAGTTACTCTCCCCCCATTAAGTAGGAATAGCAAGTGCTTTCTAGAACTCAGCCAAATTATAAAATGCTTGTTCCTTAATAAGGAATTTCACAAACACTGCTGACAATTCCTTGCCTACTTCCAGCTGACTTTCAGCTTCCCTGCAGAGACTTCTCAGCAGCCTTGAACTCATGTTTGTTCTTGTCTTTTTTTATCTGCTTACCTCTTCAACAGCCTTCCTTCTGATGCCTTCTGAAGAGCACATACATGCAGGATTTTGTTCTTGGGCAGCCCACGTAGAAAGTGAGCAATCTGGCTTGACACGTACACCTCTCTGATTGGCAAAAAATATCCCACTACAAATACTGCTAAAAGCTAGGCCCATTAAAAATATTGGGGCATCATCAAACTCTTTCTGAAAATGTTATTGCTGTTTCCACAAAATCATTCCGCTAAATAAAAAGCAGAGAAAGCTGGCTGTAACCAAAAATAGCGACTTTCAGTTTTAAGACTATTAAATAATCAATTATACTGCCAAAACTGGAAGTTCAACATTAAAAAGACAGCAGTGTGGCTTAGCTTTATCATGCATCAGAAAGTTGTTTCATTCCTAGAGCAGATCAGAGGGGGGAAAAAATCTTAGTCATTGCTCAAAGCAAATGGAGGAGGCTTAAGGACAAATGGTGTGCTTCCTAAAACTGTATCTAAGCAACTTTTATTTCTTCTTCACTCTGGACTGAAGAGAAATATCTTGGGACAACTCCCAAAGGAAAGTTGTAGAAAAACAATATTAATTGGGTGATACACAAAATATGGTCATTTCAAATTATTTTTATGAGCAAGTGATTGAATTTCCTTTTCAAACAAATATCCTACTGATGCACTGGATTATCTTCATGCAGACAGTCCTCGAGTTATGACCACAATTGGGACAGAATTTACCTAAGTATGGAAGTCATAAAGTGCAATTTCACCTAACCACAACACTTAGCAATGGCAATCCTACCACTCGGTGAGCTGCGCTGATTGCCAGTTTGCTTTCGGGTACAATTCAAGGTGCTGGTTATCACCTTTAAAGCTCTACGTGGCATCGGTCCACTTTACCTGAGGGACAGTCTCATCCCACTGGGACTGGCCCGCCCTACCCATGTGGCTCTAGGGCTGCTTCTTATGCTGTGGCTCTGGGGCTGCTTTTCAGGAAGCTGTAGATGCCCCGGAGGCCTCTGCCATTTCAGCCTGGCTCGGCAGTGTGGCACAAAGGGGCTTCTTGGTGTGCCGTATCTCTGGGGCTGCAAGAAGCCCCTGGGCCATAGTACAAAGCACTTCGTAATGCAAAGCCAGCCCCAGCCTCATCCAGCCCAAAGCTACAGGTGACCCTGGAAACCCCAGCCCAGTCCCAGCTGCAGTTACCCTTGCCATCCCACAGCCCGAGCCCCCCCCCAGCTGACATTCATCATCTTCTTGCTTATGCTCTATGTGAAGCCATCTTCCCCAGATCTCGCAAGGAAACCATCATGCGGAGCCTAGGAAAGTCTCAAGGGCCAGGTCGGGCATGCTTGGTATGTAGCAGAGCAAGAAGAGAACGCTCAGCTAGGGCAGCAGGGGTTCTATACCAGAAGAGGTCAAATGGGCATAAATGGGTGAAGAAAGGAAGGGTAGGAAGAACAGAAGTGTCCCTGTGGTCTTAAGTGCAGGCGGGTTGCCAAGCACCCAAATTTTGATCCTGGGGATGCTATAACAGCCGTAACGTCAGGGTCTCTTCATTCAGTGTTGCCATAATTTCTAATAGTCGCTGAAGGATCGTAACTTGAGGACTAGCTGTATTCCCAACTAGCACTGGCTGTTCAAAATACATTATTTGGAAGATCAGGAAGAGTACAGCTGCAATTATTCCATCATAGTATTTAACTGTTTAGTATGGAATATAAAAATAATTTATATCTGCTTCCAGGGCTATATTTTGTCATTATAACTCTACACTAGCATTTTGCAGAATTTGAGTTTATATACTCAGCGTTTCAAATTAACATTTACAAAATCCTAAAGGCTTTGGAATGTAGTCAGATCTAGGGAAATTTCTATTCGTTTTTATTATTTTGAGATGTGAGTTATTACTGCAGATATCTGGACAGGTGAGCTGGTAAAGATTTAACTTAGCAAGTTAGAGATGCTTTTTTGTTTTTTCAAGGCTCAACGAAGTTATTAGAAGTAACATGGAGCTCACAATATGATGGACCTCACTGTCTCCTTGATGAATCAAAAGTCTTGTTTACCAAAAATCTAGATGTGCAATTATTCTCTGTAAATCTATATTTCTTTGGATTGAATGTAACCTACTTATGTTCGAGACAGCAGAAAGATATGAAGCAGTTAAAAAGCTATAATTTTGGCACATTAAAAACATATTTCTAACCACTTCAATATTAGTACTGCTCTTCTTTCTAACATCTTTTTTTTCCTTTCCACTTATTGCCTTGTTCATATTTTGTAATAGTAGAATGCAATTTCTGCAGCTGGTTGCAGCAGTTTAAAAAACAAATCAAAATTAAAAGAAATCTTCTGTCTGTACTTTCTGTTAAGGGGAAAACAATACATTCCTTGTTACCAAATTTATCAGAATAAAGCTCAAAACATATTGACAGTGTTGTATGATAAATTCCCCTAAGTTTTTTTAAGACTATCTTCTGGCTTCCAGCTCACAAATATGGTAAACAAACTAAATATGAATGCAGTACCACACAGTAACAGCTCTGGCAAAGTCAATGATTAATCATTATTCTCAAGTTTAATACAAGGCTAAATTTACAGTTTGTATACAGTAGCAACAACTGATACCATATACACCCATATTAAATGCCCTCCTAAACTCTGCTATGAATTCTCACACACTTATTAATAATGTCACTAGCAAAGTTGAAGTTCAACGGAAAACCCCGCAAGCTATCAAGTTTGTTTCACTTTAACTTGTTGAAGGAGCCACAATGGTTGCA